GGGTCACAGGCTTGAGGCAGTTATTGCAAGCAAGGGTTATTCCACCAAATTAAAAGTGTTACTTACTTTAAGATTATTTGTTCCTTTACTTTTGCTCACCTAAGAACGCTGTGGTCTAATACAAACGGCGGTGTGTCCTAAGTTGTTTAACACAACTAGATGTGAATACCAAGAAATGAAAGCTGAAATTCTGAACTCTTCTCTCATACTCATCTTTTGATCTTAAACCCAAATGTCTTCAGTGAACAAGAAAAACAAAGGGATTTGCTTTACCATTCCAATACTTTTGGAGGGGACTGTTTTAGATAGATTTAAGACAGATTATTGGACAAATGCTGGCAGGGGACACAATAAAACTTTCACTAACGAAGACCACGCCTACGAACGTAGAAGGTTAACAATGGTTTATTGCTTGCAATGGAGCCTAGATAGATTGTATGAAAAGAACGGATCGAGTGAAATCTTCTGTATGCAGACAAAGAGAGGGAAGGGAGCAGAGGGAGAGAGAGAGAGAGAGAGAAAAGAAAGGGATTTGGGTGGGAGGGATGAGAAAGCTGAGACGAGGGGAGGTGAACGGAGTTGGTGTGCTTTAAGTACTAGGTGTGCGGAAATTGGATGAGTTTGAGGCGTGGCCTTAGTTCCAGAATTTAGTTTATAAAACTTCACTTAAAACACAGAAACAGGACTCTGAGACTAGATCCAGGTCCACGCAGGTTCCAGTAAAGACACTAGACATAGTCCACTGAAGCCAACAGGGTGTTAGTGACTGTACATGTCAGAGTAACAGAGGTGGACCAGTGCTGGATTGTTTCTGATCTCTCTGTGATTTCTGTACCTGAAAGTTAAAAAAAAGGCATCCATCTCTTGTTTCACCATTTTGTTAACGACTTCCTTTTAACATGAATTTAAAACTCTTTTAAAAACCTTACAAACGACAGATGACAGAGCAACAACCATATTAAAAATCATTAAACAATTTAAAACAAAAGTGTGTTAATCATTATTTGTTCTCTTCAGTTTACATCAGACCTCTGACTACTTAACACTTGATTGATTGTTTGTTTGTTTTTGAGCTCAACTTCATCTTCTCCATTTCTTTTCTGTAATTCAGTCCAGACACATGTTCAGGTTTTGGACTGCATATTTTGGTCTATATAAGTTGTGCCACATGTGAGTCTTCATTAGTTTGTAAGTGTAAGACAATGACAAATAAATGTTTTGAATTGACTGGTGCAGACATTTGTCCAGGAGATGGCAGTGTTCTACTGCGAGGCTCATTTTCCAGCAAATATGCATTTAGCAAAAATGGCCTTTCCAAAACTAGACCCTCGCCACTTCCACTCCGACACGGAGTGAAATCTGGTCGGAGTCACTCTCACAGCCAAATCGAGCTCCCTAATCCGCGTGACCCTTTGAACATTCACAAATACATTTCAAAAGAAATCAAAAGTTAAATATTTGAAGCATGATATAGTCTGAAGAATTTAAAACAGTTCAAATGTATAAAGACTTTTTTTCTTCAATGCCTTGCTTGTTACGTGATCCCCTGTGTATGTTCTATTATTCTGTCGTTTAATGTAGGTTATTTAGTTTTGGATGAAGATTTTCGTATTAATACGATCCAATAAAAAACAACAGTTGCATTGTCTATTAGACAAGAGCAATTTTTTTTATTAAGCACAATACTGCCTAACTTTGGGATGTGTTGTTAACCTGTGAATGGGTATATGAAATGTTAGTGTAGTTTCAGATTTGGATAAATTTGGACTAAAATGGACGTCCATCTTGGGCCGAAATCTTACAAAAAATGAGACAAAAACTACAAACTGAACACAAGTTTCCACAACACTCTTTGTATACCAAATGACGACAATGACCGACAGACCTGATTTAGTCCAAAATAGAAGTAAATACAAAGACACATTCTGCAGAACGTCTAAACTTAAGTACATCTTCACCTATATGTATATCAAATGTATAATATATACCAAATACGTATCCCAAAACATTTTAATATGGTTTAAACAGATGGAACTAGGTCCCAGCATGCAACACAGAGTGACCTATGGCCCAAATAACTTCAGAAAATGCATCAGACAAATTGCTTAATCTCTCCAATAATGACAGCAGAACCGCCAAAATCTTAAGAAATTTAGAAGCAACAAAGTTACAACAAACAGGTGTTTGTGATATTTATTAAAAGTAAGAATAACAGAGTGAATCAGCTGAAGGGCAGAGCTCATACACCAGAGGGCTGTTAGAGAGTCTGACCCAGAGAAACAGAGAAGACATTTAATGCTAGAGAATATATATATATATATGTCATACATGTTTCAGATTAGTTTGTGGCATAACATCTTGTGTGTAAAATAAAATGGTAGACAATCCTGGTGAAATTTCAACTTCATACCTACATGACAGAAAACGAGTCCCAAAACATTTCCTGTAAATGAAGGCTGGCTGAGCAATCACAAACAACTGGTGTGTGTCTCTGATAATCACTGAAACCAACCTTGTATGTTTTGATCAAAATCACATAACAGAGTAATTGTACTCCTGCTGCACCCTTAAAAACAGGAGCGATCTCAGAGAGAAGCAGACAGTTTTGAAGTTTCATTATACATTTGAAGGTTGTATTCAGGCTGTCAAACTGACTCAGACTGACTCAAACGGACATGAAAAAAATGAAAGATAGAAGCTAACGTTAAAGCCTACCGATCACACAGCACAAGTGAATCACCGCATCCCCCGACGATTGAGACAAGACAACGATATGAACGATCAACACTGTTCCGTAAAGATAGATTAAGATACACTTTATTGTCCCCGAAGGGAAATTTGTTTTGGACTGTGTCCGTTCTTTACAAGACAACACAAAATACAGACATAAAGCATCTCTCAACACATATTCTCATGCGGCACAACTCATGCTGTCATATACACTAGACGTATAAAGTAGCACATTGACTCCTTCTTCCAATGCCAGTTTTGATTGAACATACCGTATCTTAGAATACTACTCTAGTATTGATGATAAACAACATCAACATAACATCTCTGCTCGACTCTATACACATCCTCTGTTGAAGTCTGGAGCAGAGAGTATTCACGTGGTCCTTCCAGCTAAGTGCATTATCGATATGTACACCAAGGTACTTTAACCTGAGTAATGTGCAAGTTGTTGATCACTACAGGCCTGGTGTCACCTGTGGCCTTGGGGTCAAACACCATCTCCTCAGTCTTGGTCACATTTAGAACAAGATAGTTGTCGTCACACCGCTGGACAAATTCCTCAATTTACGTATGATGTGCTGCTGGGCTTCTATCTTTGCGCATAAGGCCGAGGATTGCTGTATCATCTGAGAATTTGATAATATAATTGTCAGCGTGGAGTCTAGTGCGGTCTTTAGTATACAGTGTAAAGAGGACTGGAGAGCTGACACAGCCCTGAGGGGCACCCGTGCTGATTGGCCTGGCTCCGTGAGAGCATTATTCACTCACCTGTTGAGTACGGTTTGTTAAAAAAGTGAAATATCAGTTGAGAATAAAAGAGTTGACAGTAATGCGTTTCAGTTTCTGGATGAGCATGTGAGGCTGCAGATTGTTAAAAGCTGAACTGAAGCCGGGTAGGCCTCTTCTCATTATTACAATCATTAAAAAGCAGAACAGTAGGGCTTTATTAAGTTAGATTCAGTGGTAAGTTAGCTAGCGTTAGCTAATTAACATCACATTAGGAACAATCCACAGCCGACATTTTTCTGTATTTATTTTATGTTTTGGAAAGAGAATAAATCGCACTTCTCCTGTCAACCTCGCTGGGTAACAACTGTAACTATTAGTTAAGTGCCCCGGGAACAGCTTTTGACCAGGTCTTGGAAAAATACAGCCAAAAATAGCTAGAAAATGACTTTTTGCATTAGAGTCAATGGAGCGCAGCCACGAAAGTGTCGGACCTCAGAACGAGTCCTACACTGCACTGTGAAAGGCCAGCTGTGTATTCAACGCATGGCTTTGTGAAAAATGTACACCCACAAATGATTTCACTTGCATCTATAAAGAGAACAAGTTATTCACGCAGAGCTGTCCTGAACAGATATATTTGATGACAATAAATCTTCTGATTATTTTGAAGTAAGAGTATTGCAAAGAAAATGTATGCTCAGAAATTTCCATGTCAACTTTTGGAGTGTCTGCCTTCTGTTTCTAAAATGGGAGTCATCTGAGCTCAATGGACAATGTTTGCAAGTGAAAACCTGTTTGCTTTTGTGGGCTAGGCTGCACCACATAATGTGTGAGTAACTTCTGAAAATCTGAAACTTATGAACAACATTAATGTAAATAGAAACAGCAACATTAGATTACTCCTTCAAGTCAACATGATGAACTTTTGGATACTTGCTGAAGTAAATAGGGAGAAAGAAATAGTATGTTTCATGTGTAAGGAGTGGTAAAAGTGATGAAGACAAAAGGTTATTATGGATGAGGAATACTTTATTATTGTAAAAAAAAAAAATTGTTAAAAGACTCACTGGTCACTTCCTTTGATGATGAAGATGTTAACAAAGTGTTTGGTTTCTTTCTCCTGCTGTGAAGAGGAAGAATCATTCTGACCACCATCAGATTCCATCCTTTTGCATTTTCTCTGGACAATGGCTGTGTTACGGTAAGTGGTGGTAAGGCAGGTTGGAGGGCCCAAACGCAGGACGCAAGGCAGAGGAGGTACAGTTCAACGGGGGTTTATTGAGGGAAAACAAACAAAAGGCGAGCACACTTACTGACAGAGTGGCTGGTAGTAGAGTCCAAGAAACAAGATAGCAAGGCAGACAACAGAAGATGGAGTCGAAAACCTTCTCGTGCGGCACCCCCTGCCTGTAAACATTACAACCATGGTTACAACCATGGTTACAACGGCGTTGCTATAATCAAACGCATTATTTTTTTCTCCCTATTTACTTCAATATGTATCCAAAAGTTAAATAGTCATAAATCATGTTAACTAGAAGGAGTAATCTAATGTTTCTGTTTCTATTTACATTAATGTTGTTCGTAAGTTTCAGTTTTTCAAAAAATATTCACACATGATGTGGTGGAGCCTCGCCCACAGATGCAAACAGGTTATCACTTGCACTTGTCTTTTGAGCTCAGTTGAGTCGCATCTCAGACACAGAAGGAAGACACTCCCAAAGCTGACGTGAAAATTTGTAAGTATACATTTTTCTTTGCAATAATGTTCCTTCAAAATAATCAGAAGATTATTAATTATCAGATGTATCTGCTCAGGACAGCTCTGCATGAATAACATGTTTTTGTATTTCATCAATAGTTAAAGCCCTCTTTATAGATGCAAGTGAAATAATTTGTGAGTGTATGTTTTTCTTGACAATACTATTCCTTAATATTAAGCAGAGCTGCAGTCAGATTGATCTCATCAGTGCACCAGGACTGAACTTAAAATGGGAACTCCTGCCAAAGAGAGAGTGAGTATCCCTGACTTCCTTATGCAGCATCCATTTACAGCTACAGTTCCTGAGTCCAGAGTTTTTGAAAGCAGAGAGAACGCTTATTGCACATATTACCAATGAAAAATTAAGTACAATTTAAACTTTAATATGATTTTGCCTTTACAGCCTGCCACCTTGAATCAAAGAATAAAGAACAGTAAAGTTATTGTTTATTTTTATTTTTATTTATTTTTATTTCTAATGGACACATGTAATATTTGTTATACTATCTGTGAATATAATGCAATACATTTTATTTCCATTCCAACATGTGATTAATTATATCATATGTGGTGCTTGTATCGGTCAATTAAGACTTCATAGCCTCTCTTCAGGTGAGACTCGTACTGCGATACTTGTGTTTGTAAAGTGAGAAAATATCAGAATAGAGTTGCTCACCCTGCCTGTCAGCTTGCTTTGGTCCGCTTCAGCGCATTTACCATAAAGGCTTTAGTGCGTGTTCACTTCAAATGTAGGTGCGGCCAGCCTATTTGTGTTCTCACAAACGAGTGACAATGGACAATCAATTCACTCAAAGCCGTTCAAACGTTACCGACCTCAAATGATGTGTCCTCAAAAGAAAAGTAAACGTCTTGAGTCGGATGCCAAAGTGTGAGCAATAATAATAATAACTTTATTTGTACAGCACTTACACATAACCAAGTTAAAAAGTGATGTACAGTACAAACAAACAAGACCCATACTTAAAAATATGAAATAATTAAAATAATTTAGAAACTACACGCATAGTCGGTCTACCGGAGAGGAAACGAGATGCTGGAGCGTGCACGGCCTGAGAGAGGAGGCTGAGGGGCGGCCCGGCGCTGCAGACGTCAGTGATCGTTCCCTCTCCTGACTATTCATGATGATACAGATAAAAAGAAATACTGTCCCCACATTGTATTGCAGACCCTCCAAAATATCACAAATCATGTTTCCAGGGGAGTTCATGTCTTACCACAATGTATCGCACTGACATCAAAAATCTAATTTGTAATGAAAAACAAACAGGCCTTTGTTGCAAGTCAGAAAGTTTTGCAGGTCAGTAAGATTTGCAAGTCAAACAGTTTTGCAAGTCAAAAATGGTCAAGACAAGAGTTTCTATTGGGGGGTTTGACCCACCAATCATGGGTTTGGATCGACCGCATGGCCACACCCACAATGCCTTCGCTTCCTTGCAGTCTGTGTGCTGTCACAGGTTGTGCTGAATTTTGCATGCCTGCCGAGAATTGCATGCACCTCGTGGGTGGTAATGCTCATGCTGAGAAAAAAGAGGTGGATGCAAATCTCGGCAGGTAGTCTACAACATCTGTTCTACCGAATTCTGCATCCACCTCTTAAAGTCCTTTTCAAACACTTTGCTGTGCACATTGATCGAACGCAGTTATCACCACATATTTTTGCTGCGTCTCAAGGAATGCTACTTCTACTAAGTGTATTAAAATATTCTAAACGTTCATAAAATATATACCTCAAATCGTTTATCACCACAAAGAATATTATAGCATTTAATTATAGCAGTAATTGGAGGTGCATGCAATTCTCGAGATAACACTGGCCAATTCCAGCCATTGAAATTGACTTCTGTCTGTGGTCAGGGAGAGGAAGGATCTGTGGACCCTATAAAAATCACTGGCTGTGCCTCATGAGGATGGGAAGGGAACGAGTTGAGGTGGTTACGCAGTTCTGGGAAGCGCGCTTGGAGGCATTGCTGGAGGTGGCTGCTGATGTTCTGCATGCAGCTCCAAGTGCTATTTAAAAATGATACACTGTTCTTTGTGGGATCATCAATGGCGATAAATGATTAGAAGGATATATTTTATGAACGTTCAGTATTTTATGACACTTGGCAGAAGTAGCATCCTTGAGATTCAGCAAAAATATATTGTGAAAGCCGCATTTCATCAGAGTGCAAAGTATCTGAAAAGGACCTTAAGAGGTGGATGCATTATGCGGCAGAACAGATTTATTTATATAAGATAAGATTTGCTTCCACCTTTTTTTGTCAGCATAAATGAGTGTTACGTCCCGCGAGGTGCATGCAGAACTCGTCACAACACCATTCACATGCCGGTTAGGGCTGCTGGTGGCGAAGACAGGTAGCTGGCCTTTAGGGCGAGGTCCCTGAGTTATGTAAAGCTACATTACTTTGAGATATTAGGTGTGTGACAGTTAGGCTTCGTTCGTGCCTAGGCTCTCCAGCTGCACGATGCACAATGAATTGAAGCCCCCTAAGATGTGTCATTCATTGTGACCTCTGGGAAGTCTTGTAGGTATTGCACAGGTATTGTGAGGCTTTAACTGTTTAGTGAGGCGAAATGATAAAAACTAAATCAGCTGATCTCAAGGAAATTCTCCCGTTATCTTGGAAAAACATTTATTTCAAGATAATGACATACATATCTCTAAAACTAATTAAATTAACTCATTATCTCAGGAAAATGGAGTAAATAAATTTATGAATGTGTGGCGTCTAAGGGCTTCTGTACCTTTAACCAGTGGAAGTCATTTTTCATCCTGTACATATTTTCTCCAGGTTCCAGGTTGAAATATCTTGTGGATTTATGTTGTACTTCAATATTGCAAAAATGACAGTAATATGGATTTCAAGCTCAGCCCGCTCGTAACCATTTCAAAATTAATGACAAGTGGAATGTACTTCATATCACGCTGTCACTTCAATTCTGTCACATGAGCTAACTCACTCTTATGTTCCCACTGTTGTCTGTCAGTGAAGCCTTATTTAAATCATTTATTTCAACAAGCAGCTGTGACTTAAAAAGTAATATCAGCGCCTCGCATTCACATAAAGCAACTGTGCTTGTGAAAGAAAAAGCCCAACTGGATGTAAATAAACATTTTTAAACTCTCATCCTCCAGCCCAGGCCAGAGAATGCTATCACTATCGCCGTGTCGTCACGACTCCTCTTCAACATGGAGCAGCAGCCTTTCAGCCCCGGACCTGCCTTCTCCTTTGTCAAGGTGAGAGACGGTGAAGAAACAAGCACATACACGCAAAATTTACCCCACTGCAGAGTGATTCCTTGGTGTCAGTGTTAGCTTTGTCTCTGGAGGCGGTAATGAGTAGTAAGCATAAAACAACAACCCAACACTCGCGTACGCTGCAATGATATATTGTTTTAAATAACTGTGTCTGGTCGCGTTGCCAGGCTCTGGAAGCTGTGAACACTCAGCTGAGGGAGCTTTACCCCGACAGCGAGGAGCTATTTGATGTTGTGCTCATGACTAACCAGGCACACGATGACCAAAGACTCATCAATACCATCAAGCATCACCGTGAGTTACTAAGATACATTGACATTAAAAATGAATGTGGCAATATCCTTTTATCTGGTGTTTCACTAGCAAGGACCTCTATCAACAGATATGGTGAAATGATTTATTGATGAATAGACATTCAAAAGTGTTGTGGGGAAGCTACGATAGGAAAGTCGCCGTAGTACCCGGGCACGACGGTCACCCCTGTAACACTATGGAGAGGAAGAAGGACATTTAACTTCACCAGCATTTATCTTTCTTCGTCATATAAACAGAAATACACAGACAACAGAACTATGAGTGATGTATTATAAAATGAAACCAAACATCAGCTGTTCACTAAACCTTTGATTCCTCCTCTCTGCAGAGTTGTACATTGAAGGCTACCGTTTGAAAGGAGAAAATAGTCCCATAAGCGACTTGAAGGCCTGCCACATTAACCTATACCTGTCTGATGATCCAGTCAGGGTTCGACAAGTTCTGGAGGCAGGTCAGTACAAAGAGAGAGAAGCTACATATAACTGAGAAGCTGTAACACTAAGAAGGCAAATGTATATATTGTATTGATACAAACCTGATTTTGAATTATACGTTCAGGTATAGCAGCAGCCACCATGGTCCCCCCAAAGGAGATCACAGAGGTGTCTCAGACTGAGCTGCGTGTTGTCTTTGACGGTGACGGGGTCCTCTTCTCTGATGAGTCTGAGCGCATTTTCAAGGAAGGAGGACTGGCCCAGTACTTAGAGCACGAGAAGACACACGAGAACCAGCCTCTGAACCCTGTACAGTATACACAGTGACAGTTATTAGCATCACACTGCTGTTTAAAATGTAGGGCATTTTGTACCTTCAGTGAAAGGATAGTTCAGGTTTACTACAACTTACCCACTCCAACTCTTATTTTTGTACGTTTGACCGTCATTTCTATCACTTAAATAAAATTGTTGAGCAAGTAATTTATGAGATGGGAAACGTGGACATCTTTACAAAAACATCAGACAGAACAAGAAACAAGTGGTGAAACAATCAGATTGACTGTTAACACGTCAGATCATCAAAAGAACTTCAATGGCAGCTAAAACTGAAAGCGAACACACCTGAAACGTAAGCAGCAACCCCAAACTGAGCAGGAAAACGGAGGGCACGTGTGTAGCTACATTAAAGTATAGGAGGTCAAAGATGAACAAGGGATTTGGTCTGTAAACATGGTTCATATTTTTAGCTTTTCTCTTTGAAATAAATTAGTTTTGAACCGGTCTGATTTTTTTTCATGTCACCTCATTTCCAGATCTCCGGAACTATCTTGGTAATTAAAATATTAGTAGGAATGGTGGTCAATAAAGTAAACTCTGCATAAAGAGCACGGAGGCCCAGATTCTAATAATTACATACTTGAATTTGTAATGTGTAATGAGCCACATATAAGAGACTGTGGGCTTACTCTGTCTGCATTTGTCTTTCTGCAGGGACCACTGAAAGGTTTCCTGGAGGCGTTCGGAAAGCTGCAGAAGAAGTTTTATGATAAAGGCCGTCGCAAGAACTGCCCCATCAAGACCTACTTGGTGACAGCTCGCGACGCAGGCAGTGCTGGTTACAGAGCCCTGAAAACTGTGCGTTCATGGGATCTGGAGATCGATAGGGCTGTGTTTTTGGACGGGGAACCCAAGGGCCCCACGCTGGAGAAGATCAGGCCACACATTTTCCTTGATGACCAGATGAGACATGTGAATGGGGCAGCAGAAGTGGGGACAGTGGCGTGCCATGTGCCCTATGGGATATCTAACCTTTAAACAAATGAAATCTTAAATAACAAATAATTCATTTGATTTAAGCTAGTGCCGTGAGTGGGCCGATACTCACAGTTACACAGTACAATGGCAGAAAATGTGTTGTGCTTTTATGCGTGTCTATAATCATATCTCTATATATCCACTATTGTGTACTTATACTCATCCTCTGAATTATTATACTATTCACTGTACCATGCTGTTGTTTCGGTCAGAGGGGTTTCTCTGGAATCGTTTTCTTGGTCTCTGTAGCTTGCAGATAGAATTTTCTCTCAGTGCTGAGAAAGTCTCCTCTATTAATGAAACGTGTGACACTGTATTCAAGTGTTAATGCACTCCTCTCCTCGGGGCCAGAAGCTCTATGCTGACCTCTGACCCAGCTGAATTTATCCTTTGTCTATGTCTCATGTTAATAAATAAACCAAAGACAACTGTTTTGTTGTAAATCATTTATTTGTACATTTCCTCTTTGGCGTACTGTGACTTTTGATGCACTTTCACAGGCTGCCAGTTGTCTTTTTTGCCCTGGGCGATTCATACGGCCCTAAATAAACTGCAGGTGCCGGTCTACGGCAAGCATGTGGACCTAGTGCTGTGAAAATATCAGACATTGTCTGTCTTATTTTTTCATATTATTATATGTGAGGTAGCAGAAATTTGTTAAGTCCTATGCTTCTCCATTCCCATGTTAAGTGGAGTTTTTAAGGCCACTTTTGTTTGTCCTCTGCTCGGGGCCAGATGTCTGATTCTGTCCCAGGTGTAGACGTCTGACCTACAGTTGAATCCTTTTTTGCACTTGTTTGTTGTTGTCCATTTACTTGTTCAACTCTGCACCATGAAATATACAATTCCCATGACAATATGTAGCCATTTTGCTACAATTACGCTGTGAGATGGATAAATTTAGAAAGCTATGCGGCACTGCAGAGAGCCCCCAGCTGCCGTCGCACATGGATCCTGCATAAAAATGGCTTCATCCAGCTAGAGGGAACGATAACCAACCGTCCACTCTCTCCTCCTATCACTTCCTGCAGGTTTTCTGGCACTGGAGCTGTGGAGTCTGGATCTGTGGTTGCGGGTCACCTGCTGCCCCCGTGTTCCTGCTATTATTATTATTAATATTACAATTATTACCATTAACACTATAATATATATCTGTACCATTTTTCATTCAGTCTATAGCAACATCACCTTTACTGTCTGTACCTCTGTGTGTATATTGCAACAAGTGTGACTATCAGAATAATGTGCTCATTAAATAGTAGTGAAAGCAGGGATACGAACTACCGGGGGGAGCTTGGCTCTTTGGGGACAGGCACCCTTTTCCAGGAAAAATGCCTAAAATAACAAACCCAAAATGAATCAGGAATAACTCCTTAACCATTTGGACTAGATGCATAATTCTGGTCTCCTTTGAAAGGCCAGAATCTAAGGAATATAAATCCATTGTACATTAATATATTTATGTTACCATTACAAACTAAATGGAGATGCAAAAAAGAGAAAATATATTTTCATCCTCGCCTGGTAAAAAAAGCTATATTTTAATGCAATAAACCATCAAAACTATCATAAGGAAGCTTTTAATGCAACTAAATATCTTCTAATACACCTAGAATGCAATTGTACATGTAAATTTAATGAAAATAAAACTAAAATACAACAGTTATCATACAATATTTTCAAAATATATCAGGCGAATGTCCATATTTTGGCAATATTTACTGTTTAAATGTTGACTTTTATTGGGAGTTATCTTCAAAACACTATTTCTGTCCATACAATGAATAATGAATAGTTTTGAATAATTTAATGAAATTAAGTAAGTGAAACAAATAACTGTTAGTTATTAAAACACATACTAAACATTACTTTTTATACTTAAGACATTTTGTGCTTGAACACTGATTTTGTCTCCTTTGTCCTGGATTGAATGGGCCCCTCTGACAAAACAACTGGCCCCAGCCTGGCCCCCTCAGTAAAATAGGTCTAGCGCCGCCACTGATGCACGGATTATGAGACGGTGTTTATTGTAGTTGTAGTTGTGGTTGTTCAGCCTGTAGCCTCAGTGTGCTGTGTAGGAGAAATCACCAAAAACAAATATTGGATTTGGTCGGCAGGTAGTCACTAGTTTTGCTCAAGGACCAGAATTTTTCAAAACAGATGCTGTGGCAGCCGTATTTTCATTTTTAACACAAGATATTATTGTTTGATATTTTTTCCTTTAACAGAGTTAATATAATATAATATAATATTATTAGCCTCTATCAGTAGTGAACGGACTCCTGAGAACATGGTAAATCCACATCGATGACTTTATCAGCCAGTAACTGGTCTTTTTCCATCATTATGTGAGAGTCATGATCTGAATTTATGCTGCACACGACGTGAGTCTGCAGTGAAAGTGAAAGGAGTTGGTTACCTGAGATGGTGAGCAGCCTGTCACCTGCAGCTCTTCAGGTATCAGCTCACTGTGTCTGACTGACTGCAATATTTCAAACTGCTGCCAGGAAACTGGTGAAAATGGCCGCTCTTGTTTTGTAGATTCATTTTAGATGAACAATAACAGTCAGTGCTGATCTCACTGACACACTGCATTTCCTGTGAGTACTTCAAAATAAAAGTCAACTCGTGTTTCACCAGTTAAATACTTTTAATGTGAAGGTTCACCAGCAGGAAATGTTCAGTTTGCATTAGCAGCGACTTAAAGTATTGCAATACTTTAACTCATGCTGGTCGGATGGTGAGCTTTTGTGGGCCGGATGTGGCCCGCGGAGTCAGGTTAAACCACATGTCAGAACTTTCTTCAGCACCAGGATTTAGAAGCTGCTGGAAGCTGCTGTGTTTATATTTTGGACCCGTCAGAATTTGACATATTTTCTGAACCCACAACAAATTTATTAAATAAAAGGATGAAGTGTTCCTTTATGGGATGGATTCACTAAACAAACTGTTTAAACCTCCCTTGGATCAGCTGGAAACTGCACACAGTTTGCTCCTCCAGTGGCTTTAAAGTTAAAACTATCATCTGTTGAACAAACTGAAGCTCCTCTGCTGCCTCCTGCTGGCTGCTTCCTGTCACTGTCAGTCTGTTCGGCCCTCAGGACAAACTGGAGAGCTCCTCACAAAACATTCACATTAACACAACAGCTACATTTACTACACTGCTGTACTCAAGTACAACACTCAGGTACTTTTACTTTACTTTCTACTTCCACTCCACATCTCAGAGGGAAATATTGTACTTTTACTTCACTACATTTATCAGACAGCTTTAGTTACTTTACAAATTAAAGGTTTTTACACAAACACAAAGAGTTTATAAAATACGACTGCTGAAATTATTAGTTAATCTATAAATTGAGTGACAGAATATTAATTAGTCACCATTTTTACTGTAAAAACATTTCATGGTTCAGCTTCTCACACGTGAAGATTTGACACTTTTCCTTTTAATTATTTTAATAAAGTTTTATATATTAAAAGTTTTCTGGAACACGATATATAAATCTTCCTCTCCAGACTCTGCTACTCAAAATTTTAATTTTAATTCATTCATTCTATTGGTTGGACACAACAAGCATTGAAGGTTTCACTTTAAAAGTATCTCAGTACCTTAAAAATGTTGACTCGCCCCAGGAGCTTTTTTTTTGGGCCATAAGGGTCAAACAACAGAGAATCCTTCAGTAACAGAGCCAGAACAGATCTACAGATAGAAAAAGTCTCCACACCCCTGTTAAAATGCCAGGATCTTATGATGTAACATAATGAGACAAAGATAAACGGGAAAAGGGAAACATGCAACCAGGTTATTGTAAGGTTTTTATTTTTCATAAGTGTGCACACCCTCTTATAACCGGGGATGTGGCTGTGTTCAGAACTAACCAATCACATTCAAACTCATGTTAACTAGAAGACATTACACACCTGCCATCATTTAAAGTGACTGATTAATCACAAATATAGTGGTGGTGGTGCGTGCGGTGGTTAGCACTGTCGCCTCACAGCAAGAAGGTTGTGGGTTCAAACCCCGGTTGCCCCGGCC